GCTGTAGACCTTGCTGCCCTTCTTGTTTCCTCTCCCTAGCCCTTCTCACGGGATTTCCTTGCTGCCTTCTCTGTTCATTTCATGTCCATGGTTTGGCTTGGTCGATGAAGTCACTGTTATTGAGGGTTACATGCTCTGACCTAGCACTACATAACTAGAAAATGGAGCGTTTGCAAACCACGTTGGTTCTCCTCTTTCTAATCTCCTATGTGGTTCCTCACACTTCTCACTGCCTGGGCCATTCATAAAAAGCCTTTAAATCTTTGAGGTTGCCATGGACTTCTGTGGGCTGATCCAAAGCAGTCTCTGTTCATCGACAAAGTCACAGATGTTGACTACTGTTGGATATTGACTAACCCAATGTTTTCATTTCATACATGGCAGTGAGAGGCTATCGGACTGGCAAAATAAGGTCAAATGCCACAGAAGAATGGACGGTGATTCATAAAAGTCTAGAGCTCAAGTCCAAACTGGTAAGGAGCTGAAGTCTTTGACCAAAATCTCTCGACCTCTTTGAACATCAGTTTCATTTGCTCTAATATAAAAATCACAACTTCTACAACATTATGCATGTGTAGGACCGACCTGATGTAGGCTTATTAATGGACGTATATTGTCATTGTGATTGGGCTAAGCAGTAGACCTTACATGGATGCAGAGTGGGCACTGTGAAGCTGGAGAGAAGCAGGTTAGATGTGCCAGCAGGGAGAAGAGAGAAGGCACTCGTGTGCTCCTGTCCCTCTCTGTCCCAATGGCTTTCATTGGCAGCGCTTGGGCAGGAACACAGAAACCCACTATGGGTATTACTCAATCCAGAGAGATTTTTATAACACTGAAGGGTTGAAGAGCTGGCGTTAGGTGTTCCCTCTGCTAATCTTGGATACTTACAGCACTGTAGTTCCCTAATTGAAGTGTCACTGTAGATTTTAAGAGTCCAAGGAAGTCACACACAAGTCAACATTTCCAGGGAAGGTGACTCACTGAAACTTGCCTGGAAACCTCTGTGGCTACCCACTGCACAACAATACTGATACTGAGGAACACGGCTTTCAAATCTTGTGCAAGCGTTCTGAGCCATTGACAAGCTCACACCACACTGAGAGGACTGGTGGGAAACGTGACCCCAAGATCCTCCCTTGTGACACAGAATGTGACAGGAGGTGGCTTTGGCACTGGGTCAGGAGCCGACAATGAAAAACATGCCCCATGTGTATCTTCTGAAACATTTACTCATCTTTACCACCTTTCATACACTATGAGAATGAAGAACTGATGGGGAAGTCCTTCTGTGTATTTGTTGTCTTATTGGTTTATTAAATAGAGCACTGTTGGCATGAAAAACATAAAGACTTACAGTAAAGTCAGATTCAGATGAAGTAAAGCCTCTAAAAGGTTTACAGTGTGTTTAAAAATATACGTAGGCTTGGGAGAGAAAAAGAAACAGGATAGTGGTAAAAGAAATAGAGAAGCTGGGCTGTGGTGACGCACGCCTTTAATCCCAGCACTCCAGAGGCAGAGGCAGGCAGGTTTCTACAGAGAAACCCTGTCTCAGAGAAAAAAATAAATAAATAAAAGTAAAAGAAATAGAGTAAGAATAATAGATAAATAAAAACACCACGTAAAGATGGAAAATACACAGAGAGTCTGGACACAGTGTGCTATTGTGTTTTTCAGTTGTTCAATTGCTAAGGAAAGAACAACAAATGCCGAAATATACTTGATTATCAATGCTGCTGAATTAATCCAACTTATATCTTTTGAAAATGCCTTGACCTCAAAATTTAAATATAAGCATATGTTACTTTGCAAAAGGGATTTTATTTGTGTTTCCACAGAAAATTAAAAGCTGTGAATTCCTTCCAAACTAATATGGTTTGATGAAGCAAGACACCCTGAAGCAGTGTCCCAGGCAGTCTAGCATCTGAAAGAGCTGGTATGATGCAGACTACAAAAACAAGGACCTGGCCAGGTTCCTGTTGTTTTGTCATGATGCCCATGGTATGGACAGTGCCCCCAACCAGCAGGAAGCAGTTTGGGATGAACAACGCCCAAACTCCCAAATATTGTTTATAAATTTTTGTTTTCACTTAAATTGGGTTGCTTATAAATGGTTAATGATCACAACCAATCTCTTTTTAAAGGTAAAAGGGAGATTATGGTATAGAAATGCATGCTTTATATTGGAATGGATTTTCATTTATTGATACAAATTTAAGATCAATTTTGTGATATAAATATATTTTTCTCTTCTTGTTTAGGTATTGTGTTTGTATAACTCATTTAAAAATGTAATGTATAATTAAACACAGATTAGATATTTACCTATAATAGTCAAAACTTACAGTTAGGTCTTATAGATATAAAGAAATGTATTTAAGATAGATAGATAGTCTTTAAACCTTTCAAAGACCTTCAGAAAATGGCATTTAAAATGGTTTAGGGATTTTCACAACTGCTCCTGGCACACCAACTACATCTGAGAGGAAGATGGGCATTGAAGAAACTCTTCATGGAGTTTGCCTTTGACATGGCAAAACTAGCCATTTGGGCAAGACACTGCTCTTGCCTGGACTGTTTGACTGTTGCTGTATAATCTGGACATGGAGGACCCACAGGAAAGTGACTGATGAACTCGATGGAACAGTCCTAAAGGGTTCCTGTTTCATGGAAGAGTCTGCCAGACTTTCTGCAGGACACAGAAAAATGACCGACAAACTGCCAATGCAGATGGATAGTTTAAAATTTCCTGCTTTGCTGAGAAGTCTGCCAGACACACTGTGGTCTATGGGGTGAAGATGGATGTCCCAACATTGCAGAGGAACTTCGGATGACTGTCCAAATAGCGAGATGTCTCTGCCAATTCTAGTGTTTTTAATATTATCATTCTGTGATCTTTGATGGAGTTGAAGGCAGATAGTTATAGTTATAGTTTTCCTCAGTTATGATAAAAGATAAGTTACATATAAGACTTTAGACTCACACAGATAGGATAAATGATAAAATACTTTCTATCTTTAAATCTTACTAAATGTTAATGGACTAAATATTGTAACTATGTTCTTATTTGATAACTGTTCTGTTATATATAATTTGACTATGTTAAAGTTAAAACCTTTCTTTTTATTTAGACAGAAAAAAGGAGATGATGGGGGAAGTCCTCCTGTGTATATGCTGTCTTATTGGTTTATTAAATAAAGCACTGTTGGCCAATAGGGAAGCAAGACAGATGGGACTAAGAGTTGAGGAGGATTCTGGGAAACAGAGGCACAGTCAGTCACGATGTAGGACACCAGAGGAGTAAGAGGTCCGGACCCTTTTCTCCAGTAAGAGAAATACTCAGACTAGCAGTTAAGGGTTAATAATTAAGTCAGAGCTAGTTGATGATAAGAAACCAAGCAAGCAGCCAGTAGCTTCATAATTAATACAGTGTTTTGTGTGTTATTTGAAGACTGAGACAGCTACAGGACCCAGACGGCTGGCGGGAAGACTACACATTAAAAAAACACACACACACATGAGGCCAGGTTTCCATGAGGATAGCAATAGATTGATCATATGACCATGAATGCTGACTGGAAGACGCTTGTGTTCATTCTTTTTAAAAAATATATTATTTGGGATCTTGGGGGAAGGGGCTGGAGAGATGGCTCAGGGCACTGGCTACTCTTTCACAGGACTGGGATTTGATTCCCAGTACCCGTGTGGATGCTCACGACTGTGTGTTAGCTCCATTTCCAGGAGATCCAACACCCTCTTCTGACCTCTGAGGGCACCAGGCACGAACACAAGCATACACATATGGGGTAGGGGTGGCAAAACACAAACTCAAAATGAAGTAAGAATTTTAAATTCTTTTGTAAACACATTTTAAAAGAAAAGCAGTAAAGCTGAAGAGGGCCCCACTCTTCTGCATTCCCGCCTCTACTTTCAAGGGAGCAAATCTTAGAATTCCAGTTAGGGGTCCTGATAGGTATGGTCAAAAGCTCTGTCCTCACATAAGGAGAGGGTTTAAAAAAATCAACCAACTATTCCCAGATATTTAGGGCAGTAAGTTACTTCTAGAAGACTAAGACAATGGAGAAAAATACCTTTTCTTTAAAAAGTAAAAGAGGGACAGTCAGGGCAATAAAAAAATAGCTCATTAAAATAGTTTTATCTGAATCCTCAACCTTATCTTTCTTTTTTAACTCTAATTTTCTTTTTATAGTTTTCTCAATATCTAGCCCCCCTTTCTATCCTCATAATTGTGCAATTTCTCTCCCTGTTCCTTGTCCTCCACACTGCGGGAGATTGGCCACAGCTGGTGGTGACCCTCTTCTCTACCGCCGGTTTGCATGTAAATCATGAACAGACAGTGTGAGTCGTTTTGGGAATTCCCCATCCTCCCAGGATCCTCCCCCACCACATACATCTTCATCACTGGATTTCAAATTTAGATAATGTACAGGAAGAGATAAGAACTATTTTTTCCCAGCATCTTTCCTCCCATCGAAAATTCACCATTCCACCAAATAGGAAAGGAATGAGATAGTTAGGATTATTTTTTCCCCTTACAAAGTGTGCATACTGAGGCCCAAGAGGCAGGACATGCCAGATGTTGTAAGTGCATGACTGCTCAGTCCCTTTGGCCACACATGCTGACGTCATGAAGTTGGGAAACCTGACTCAGGAGTCGCCATCCCGTGTGCTGACAGAGCAGCAATTGCCCTGGGTCAATCCAGCCAGCCCCTCACTCAAGCCTGGCTGAGCGTGTTTGTGAGTAGGGGTCAGTCAGAGGGGACTAGGGAGTTAGGACTGTTTCCAGCCATTCTAGAAAGCACGGAAAGGCTAAGGGTTCATGGCAGTGAAGACCTTGTGTGAGGATGCAGAAGAAGGGTTGGCGATGCCGTTGCTCCCCGAGTGTCTGAACTTCATCCCGAGTGAATGTGGCACCTTGGGCACACATTTCTAAAATGACTGAGAGGAAGGTCAAAACGAGAGGAATCAAGGAAGGGTATGGCTCTGTTTACTGTGACATCTTTATGGACATTACAATGGGAATTAGTCATCACTTTCTATAAAAATGAACCGAGACATAAGAGGGAACACAGTTTTAAATAGCGTCTCCAGGCTCAGCTTGTTCCTGGCTGAGGCCAGTTATGATCAGTTCCTGCTCTGCCCTATGCTCTGGTTCCCAGCCTAAGTGGTGCTTTTCCACATTTACACCAAGCGTTTTTTAAAAAAAAAAAAGTCAGAAGATTGAGCTCTGTGCTCATCGCCTCGCCCTTCATACACCTTTGTAAAACAACAGCATCCTCTCCCCTGGCTCTACGAACAGTCCTGGAACAGTCCAGTGCTGCCTTTATCCCCTAGAGACAGGGAAACCCACCCTCTCGGGCTCCCACTGAGTGACAGTGCCAGGGACACCGACTGACTCCTTAAGCTGACTGCTTCCCTGTTAGCCTAGTTCCCAAGCAGGTTTGGCCACAGTCACCCAGGAACTGGGTTGTAAATGCAGGCTCCAGGCTCCAAACTCCGCAAACCCAGGTGGACCTTGCTGTACTTTCAGTGAGCAACCAGGTGAGACAGGTGAGTTGCTAAGTCACTAGGCTGCCGAAACAGCTGCCTGGGAACTCCTTCTGCAGCCCACTTCTGCTTGGCTTCCTCCCCTGCTGCCCCTACTCAGCAGGTGCAGACATTTGCTAACAGAAGTTCTTTGCTGCAGAGCATTTTTACAACTAGCTTTCTGCAGAACCGTAAAAAACAAAAGAGATGAACTTAAATACAGCCAAACAATTTTTACCAGAGCAGTAAAGTCGTTTCCTTGTTGAGCTCAGTTTGGGGCAGATCTGAGAGGCCCTGTTCATTCTGGACGATTAGGCAAGTTTAGCCTCCACCCAGTTGGTGTTCAGGACTGACCCTGCAGGAGACCTGAACCACCAGGTGAGATCGACTGTCCCTGGCACTTTTCAGACCTGAGTCCCCAGGGCTGGGAGGGCTGCTGGCAGAGAGCCTAGTGCCCAGTTGACTTTATGATGTGTTGCCTGGTGGTGTTCCCAGCTCTACAACATGGGTGGTCTGCATGCTGGCGGGGTCCAAGGCTGCGGGAGTTCACAGTCCCCTCTGGGGAACATGACGAATGGCTTCGCTGACAAAAAACGTGGTCTGCTTTCCATCCCAGAGCCATGAAGGGTTTCGTTTTCAAAGCAGGAAAACAAACCACAGGAACCAGACACAACACACACAGGCCACAAACGATACGGCCATTTTCCCATCTCAGACAAGGGACCTGCAGAGGTGAAAGAAAAATGGCTTTGTTGGAATTCTTTGATGAAAAGCAAATCCACACAACCTGCAGTGTTGTAATGAGACCCTGCTCGCTTTCCATCGCGGACCTTCCCCTGACCCGGTGGACTCAATCTCCAGCGGGCTGGCCTACCTCAAGTTGGTCTTTTCCGAGATTCGGAGCTGCACTTCCTGCCAGGAGTTTCCCGGGGACCCCAGCGAGACGAGTGGGGCAGAGCCTGGAGGACAGCGCCCTCAGCTCCTGTGGGTGTGCTTAGCAGAAGCAGTGCTGTACTCCATGCCATGGCTGAGTCAAGCTGGGCTCCACAATGGTGAGGAGCTGAGATTGGAAGACAAGGAACTACAGTAAGAGGCAGGGCAGTGAGCCTTGTGGACACAGAGGACTCCATGAGCAGGTGTGGGAGGGTACAGGGCCCCCACGCAGACCTTCCAGGTCTGAAGGCTGTCTTGGTGTTGGTGTGAGGCCAATTCGGGAGGTGGGGAGTGGCTGGTACGGAGGACCTGGAGGGCCACTGCTCTCAAGGTGTGTCCTAGGGAAAGAAGCTTCAAGGGGTAGTGGGAGTGTGTGTGTGCAGAAGTGAGTGCAGCTCGACCGGTGGAGTGTTGGTTTAGGATACACAAGGCCCTGGATTTGATCCTCAGCGTGGCATAAACTGAGAATGCTGGTATGCGTGCCGACCCAGAACTCAGGAGTAAAAAACGGGGGAGCAGAAGGTCAAGTGAATGTCCGGCTTTATAGTGAGTTCAAAGCTGGCCTGAGCTAGAGACTGTTTTTAAAAAAACAAACTAGTGAAGTAAATAAACACATAAATAACTTTAAAAAGGAAAAAAAATCCCCTACTGTTCAGGCAGATGTGATGACTGGAGCAATTGAAAGTACTAAGCAGGTTATCAAAGAGACAAACTGTTTGAGAGGACATGACCACAACACTAAATGAGGCAGGAGCAGGTCTACCTCAGCGACTCGGAGCAGCACCGGGCACGGCCTCCCCCAGTGAATATGGGCCTCTTTGGAGAACTCAGGAAAGCACGAAGCCCATTGAAAATTGTGAGCCCAGCTGCTGTGGAGAAAAATGCTCAGAGCAGTGGGTTTTTCTCCTTCCCTTCCCTTCTCTTCCCTTCCCTTCCCTCCCCTCCTCTCCCCTTCCCTTCCCTCCCCTCCTCTCCTCTCCCCTCCCCTCCCCTCTCCTCTCCTTCCCTTTCCTCTCCTTACCTTCCTTTCCCTTCTCTTACTTTTTCTTCCTCCCTTCTTTCATTTCTCTCTCTCTTTCTTTCTCTCTTTCTTCTTTCATAGGATTATTTCCCCTGTTTGTATTCTCTTGGAACTCTCCTTCTGTAGGTCTTGCACTCAAACTCTCTCTCCCTCTCTGCATTTCTCTTGCAAGCACTGGTGCATGTGTGTGTTAAAATGTGGGAAATTCTGTGATCCCTTACAAAGGCTTTTACATCACTCATTTCCCCATAGAATTGACAGAGGTGAGAAGCTGTGGAAAGATCGGGGTTTTGGTACCAGACAAACTTGGAATGAAACTGTCCACATTTGCAGATGTTACCCAGGTGAGGGGCTGGTTGTATTGCCTTGGGCACTATTTCCTGAAAACTGTGCAGGACTATTTGACTGTTGGGAGTGACATATTTAAATATGGAGTACTCAGTAGGCATCCAATCGATAGTAAGGTGAAGTCTGGAGTGTGCGACTGTGCCCTGAAGCTTCCCCACATCATTCTTCATCACGGTAAACAACAGACCCAGCACATCCTCCAACAGGTGAAATTCTCTAGAAAGAAAACTTTAGCAAATATCAGTGTGGAATTTATTCATGTTTTATTTAATTACTTGGGGGCATTTAATGAAAGAATGAATTATTAAATGAGAACATTGATTGTTCCCTGTGTATAGCAAGATGATCTCCTGTGTATGCTTAAAATAGCTCCATAAAATATAGAGCAGGTCACTGTAAATTAAAGAAAGGAAGGAAAATGGAGTGAGGATTGAAAATACAATTTAGTCTGTACGTCTGCACGAAATGATGGCCACACCCCCAGGATCCTGCGTCCAGGCCTTCCAGCTGTCTGGACTGGTGCTGAGTGCTGCTGCAGAGGCTGGAGGAAGGTTAGTGCTGAGTGGGGGGGCCAAAGGAGGCCACACTCTTTGATTAGCTGATTCTTTGGTTCCTTGGCCTGGCTCCGCCCTGCCCCAAGCCCCACCCTTGCTCTTCGACCCTCGCAGTGTGTCCAGTTGAGATGCTAGAAGGGATAAAAGGGATGGAGGGCAGAGGATTCCTGTCACCTTGATCCTTTCAGCTGAGGCTCCTGTCCCTTCACCGGGGGTCTCTCCATGACTCGTCCCTTGCAGCTTCTGAACACCTGTTTCCTTATAGCCAAGAGCAGTAACACTTCCATGTCCCCAGCCCAAAAGCTGCACCATCCCCCATGGTTTGCCCCAGACTCCCTTGACAAATAGGGAGTGTTTCTCTGTCCCTCCAGCCAGCTCCCAAATGATGACACAGAGACTTCTTACTAATTATGAAAGCTTGGCCTGTAGGTTGCACTTCTTTCTAACTAATTCTTAAAACTTAAATTAACCCATTTCTATTACTCTCTGTCTTGCCACGTGGCTTGTGGCTGTTACCTCTCCTCCTGTCTGTTGTGTTTCCTCTGCATCTGACAGGCGACTCCTCCTTTTTCCCAGCATTCTCTCTGCCTCCAAAATCCCGCCTAGCTATTCATTCAGCTTTTTATTAAACCAATCCAAGTGATATGTCTCCACAGTGTACAAACAGATCATTCCTTTTTTTTTTTTTTTACGCTAAATCCTTCTGGAGTTTTAGTTTGTGTGTGCCATCTGTCCTTGTCAGGACCTCCACTGAGGTGGATGGCACTGATGTGAGCAACAGAGTATCTCTGTTATCAAAGGCTGAGAGTGCTGGAGGGAAGGGGACCAGGAAGGGAGATGGAAACCCAGAGAGCAGTGCTGCAAGGGTGGAGGAAGGGAGGGAGGGAGTGAGAAGTAGGATTGGTTGGAAAGTGAGAGAAGATTGTTTCAAAATAAATTTAATTTAAAAAAGAAAAAACTAAAAGTGAAAAATAAAATCGAAAGAGTGGATAGGCGGTGCTGAGGGAAGCTGGGCCTGTGAGCCACGCCAAGACGCTGCGGCCCTGGGGCAGTGGCAAGGATGACGGCGGTATTCAGGGCTTGGGTGAATTGAGCTCTGCGGTATCAGAGAGCTTCTGCGCTTCATTGTCCTGAGATGTGACCTCAGAGTTGGTGGTGTCGTCTATGTAAGCCAGTGTGTAAAGTTATTAATCAGCCACATGCCACACATTCCCAAAGAGTAAGCTTTGCTACAGACCCAGACCTCACTCAGAGTGCTGGGAAATAGGATAGTGTAGGTCCATTTTATACAGTGAGCAATCATGCTCACCAAAGTCAAGAAATTTGCCTGAAGCAGCAGCGGAACAGTTTTTCTGTCACCAGTGAGCATCCTGGTTAGTGTTTTGTCAACTCAGCACAAGCTGGAGTCATTTTGGAAGAAGGAACCTTAGTTGGCTGGACTGTAGGCAAATCTGTAGGGCATTTTCTTGGCCAGTGACTGATATAGGAGGGTCCAACCCACTATAGGCAGTGTCATCTCAGGGCCAGTGGACCTGGGTTGTATAAGAGAATGAACTGAACAAGTCATGGGGACAAGCTAGTAAGCAGTATCCTTCCATAGCTTCTGATTCAGTCCCTGCCTCAAGTTCCTGTCCTGGCTTCCCTCGGGGATGGAGTGTGACCTGAGAGTTGTTCATTGAAATAAGCCCTTTCCTCCCCACCCTTTTCTTTGTGGTGCTTTACCACATCAATAAAAACCTACACAAAGACACTGGCAGTAACTCTATTTCTGAAAAAGAACCCTTTTCTGGAACGATCTGTGAGTATGTCCAATAAGTAGTTGAAGTATGCTCACATACTTTTGTGTTCTGTTCCTTTTTCTGGGACAAACCTTACCAACCCTGCACCTCCCACCAGAAGGCTGAATAGAGCAAAGGAGAGCACCCCTCCCTCCCTCTCTCTCTCTTTCTGTCTCTCTCCTCCCTCTTGCTCGAAGGTCAGGAATCCAGGAGTGAGACAATGAGCTACAAAGAAATAATATTCACCACTGTCCTTACCATTGTCATTGTCATCATCAATAACACCATGGCCCAGATGGAAGAATATTCAAGAGAATGCATTTATTCCAAACAGTGTAGATGAAAAGAAACACGGAAGGCAGCTGGGGTCTCCCTCGGGGTCTTTGTCAGCCCCTTGCTTGTTTGAGCTTCAGTCCGGGCACATGCACAGCAGGACAGTTAGTGGGTCAACTCCTCAGCTAGGCTGCTGGTGAAGCCAAGGAAGCACAGTCTAGTCCTGCAGACCACGCACACGCCAGGTGGCAAGAGTCTCTTTCATTGATTTTTTTCATGCCATCTATTTTGATCATCTTCTTTCTCCTTCCTAAACTCTTCCCAGATCCCTCCTCCCTATGACCCCAACTTCTTCATGTTCTCTCTCTCCCCTCTTCTGTCTCCCCTTCTCTCAAATGCACTCACACAAAAATGAAAATCAAAACAAACGAGCCCCCAGTAAGACAGAAAATGCGAAGCCAAAACAAAACCCACGGAGTCTGCTTCGTGTTGACCAACCACTTCTGGGCATGGGGACTGTCCTGGAGTGTAGCTGATATACTCAGTGACACCCAGTTGAAGAGAACTAATTTCCCCTTTCCTCGCAGGTACACTTGCAATTAACTTTTTTCAGACAACATCCCATCCCATAGGAGGGGGAGTGGACATAGAGTCTCCTAACTTTCAATGCCACTAGCTAGCCTCCCGCCGTCTTGAGTGCTATCTCAGTGGCCATGTTCCAGACCCAACGTGCTAATATTTTCTTTCCATTTCCAAGAGCCATTTCTTCACCCGCTTTCCACTGGAATGCCCACCACCCGCCCTGGGAAGAATAGTCACATGTGTTAGCCAGAGGCAATAATAGTGCTGTTCTGTGCACTGCCCTGTTCCTGCTTCCAGAATTCCTGCCTTGGCATTCCTTATTGGTGAACTGTGATGTGGAGTTGTAAGCTGCAATACTCCCTCTCCCAGCCCAAGTTGCTTTGGGCTCTGGTGTCTGTCTGCAGAGAAGTAAAGCAGGACAGCATGCACAAGGGCCACAGTCAGATTCCCCAGTACCACAAGAGGAAAGAGAATGTGTCTCTTGTTGGTTGTAGATTTGGGGAAACACAGCACCATGGCTACTGGCATTCCTTAAACAGCTAAGGGCGCTGTTCTTCCCAGGGCAGCTGAG